CAAAAACACACAATGCGCTCCTATACATACGGTCACACATACACACATACACCCATATATATGTATATATACTTACATACATAGAAAAATACACATATATGTGTGTGTTTGAATATGTACATACTACTGAGGTATTTCATTTGCATACATTCGTATTCATGCATACATAATTGCCTTTTTCATTTTTTGCTTAATCCGCAGGGCCGTGCCACTCTCCTGGGCAAGTTCCGCAACCTGGAGCACGATATTCAAGCCCTCCGTGATCAACTGGATGAGGAGAGCGATGCCAAGGGAGATGTTCTCCGAATGCTCTCCAAGGCTAACGCTGAGGCTCTCATGTGGCGCTCCAAGTACGAGTCTGAGGGTGTTGCCCGTGCAGAGGAACTCGAGGCTGCTCGTATGAAGCTCGCCGCTCGTCTTGAGGAGGCCGAAATGCAAATCGAGTCTCTCAATGTTAGGAACCTGCATCTCGAAAAGACTAAAATGCGTGCTGCTGCTGAGCTGGACGATCTCCATGCTTCTGCTGAGCGTGCACAGGCCCTGGCTAGTGCTGCTGAAAAGAAGCAGAAGAACTTCGACAAGATCATTTCCGAATGGAAACTGAAGGTTGATGACTTGGCCGCTGAGGTAGATGCCTCGCAGAAGGAATGCCGCAACTACTCCACCGAGCACTTCCGCCTGAAGGCCGCCAATGATGAGAACATTGAACAGCTTGACAGCATTCGCCGAGAGAACAAGAACCTGAGCGACGAGATCAGGGATCTGATGGACCAGCTTGGTGAGGGTGGCCGAGCATACCATGAAGTTCAGAAGAATGCCAGACGTCTTGAGCTCGAGAAGGAAGAACTCCAGGCTGCTCTTGAGGAGGCCGAGGCCGCTCTCGAACAAGAGGAGAACAAGGTCCTCCGCACTCAACTTGAACTCAGCCAGATCAGACAAGAGATTGACAGGCGTCTTCAGGAGAAGGAGGAAGAGTTCGACAACACACGGTAAATAACAGGCATTTAGTAGGTTCTAGTATATTCTTATTCCATACACATGCGCATTTACTTATACATAAAATACACACGTAATGTGTGCAAAAAGAAACTCTCAAGGAATTCATTTTCTTTTTGATTATATTCTTTTTTTACAGCAATACCAGATATATCGACTCCATACATACATGCGCATATATGTATATATATGTGTGTGTGTGTTTATAAATGTGTGTGCTTGTAGGTGCATCCATTGTACGGAAGCACTTATTTCACGGAACTTTTCTTACAGCAAGTGTCACCAGAGGGCCATCGACTCCATGCAAGCTTCTCTTGAGGTTGAAGCCAAGGGTAAGGCCGAGGCTCTTCGCATAAAGAAGAAGCTCGAGTCCGACATCAACGAGCTCGAGATCGCCCTTGACCACGCCAATAAGGCCAACTCTGACCTTCACAAACATCTGAGGAAGGTTCACGATGAAATCAAGGATGCGGAAACCCGTGTTAAGGAAGAGCAACGCCATGCCTCCGAGTTCCGTGAACAGTATGGCATTGCTGAACGCCGCTTCAACGCCCTTCACGGAGAGCTGGAAGAATCCCGCACTCTCCTGGAACAGTCTGACCGCGGCCGTCGCCACGCTGAGACTGAGCTCAATGATGCACGCGAACAGATCAACAACTTCACCAACCAGAACACTGCTCTCACTGCCTCAAAGAGGAAGCTTGAAGGTGAAATGTCAACCCTCCAGGTAAGTTGATGTCAAAGTACAAATGGAATATTTTACAAATTGTGTATTCACATAATTATACGTACTCTCACATGCCCATGATTGCATGTGCACAAGGACGTGCATTCATGACATAAAAAAAAAGATGTGCATACACACATGTATTTATATAAAAAGACTAATTTTCCCTAACCTTTCTTAAGGCTGACCTTGAGGAGATGCTCAACGAGGCAAGGAACTCTGAGGAGAAGGCGAAGAAGGCAATGCTTGACGCTGCCCGCCTGGCCGACGAACTCCGCTCTGAGCAGGAACACGCTCAGGCCCAAGAGAAGATGCGTAAGGCCTTGGAAATTACCGTCAAGGATCTCCAGACCCGTCTTGATGAGAGTGAGAGTGCTGCCATGAAGGCTGGCAAGAAGGCCGTCAGCAACATGGAAGCTCGCATTCGTGATCTCGAGTCTGCGCTGGATGAAGAGGTCCGTCGTCACGCCGATTCGCAGAAGAACCTGAGGAAGTGCGAGAGGCGCATCAAGGAGCTCGCCTTCCAGACTGAAGAGGACAAGAAGAACCACGACAGGATGCAGGACCTCGTCGATAAGCTCCAGCAGAAGATCAAGACCTACAAGCGACAGATCGAGGAGGCTGAGGAGATCGCCGCCCTCAACTTGGCCAAGTTCCGCAAGACTCAGCAGGAGCTTGAAGAATCTGAGGGAGTAACTATCATCCACTATTAAACGCAGTGTTATCTAAAACGACGATGTAACTTGGGTAACTGCTGCAATAAAAATGTAATTTAAA